GCCATGCAAACTCCAGGGATCATCTCCAGGGAAATAGGGAAAACGCGTACTGGATCAACCGCAAATTAAGGCAAAGCAACAGACCCCCGCCCCCTACTCCTCTGAGGACCTTACATGCTCACGAGTTTACTTCACTCTGAAATAGATGTCTTTTCGGATATTTTCTCTTTTCAGATCAACTCTACGTTCGTGCATTGGAGTTCTCATTCCGATGCTACTACAATCGAACGGGAAATGTCGCAATGCCACCACCTCTCAATTACACCGATGGTTTTCTGAAACTTGTCAATCCCATTCCGCTACCTGGTATACGACCACCTCAATTTCCCACTTTATTTCCGCCGTTGCCTACGTTACCTTCGTCAACTTTGTATTTAACTTCATCGCCGTCGTCTTTTACTCAACCACCTCCAGTAGAGCTTTCGAAAATTACTGGTCTACCGCCATTGCCACCGCCATTTCCGTCATTGCTGCCATCAACACCGCCAATTTTCCCTTCAACGATTCAATCGGGATCTAATCCTACTGTGCCGACTGAACCCACTGTATTCGTGCCTGATACCATTGAATCTCCAGATGATCCATTTACTAAGATAATAAGTCGACCGCTACCGCTACCGTCTACCTCTACCCAACCACCGCCCACAACAATTTCCCCAGATTACTCTACTGGACAAGGTACAAGCAGCTCATTTCCTTCACCTGTCACTCCTACTACACATTTGCCTCCAGAAGTTAGTCTGGCAATCGTATCCCCCCAGACAAAACCTCATATACGAGGCCGTGTTACGACAACATTTAACACACCAGTAGCTACTACCACCTCTTCTGACAAGCTCACTCATATTCATGTGGGAGTTGGAGGAAATAACCCTGGCGATAATGGCCCCATTTCCTCCACATCTAGTAAAGGAACATCTGAAGCAGAGACCTCCTCATCAAGCAAGGGAACATCGGAACCAGAGAATGAGAAGCAAGGAATGGATTCGACCATATCGAAGCTTGATCCAAAGAATACCCAAAGTACAAATGACTTGGAACTTTCAAAACAAACGACTGCCTCTCCAGCTGACGCTTCTGTCAAAGGGGGCTCTCCCAACGACAACACAATACCGTGGCCAGACCTTCAGGGAGCAGTCAATCCGAGGTTCCGTATTACTACAAGTACCCAGATCAATAAAATCGATAATGACCATTCCGATAAGTCAGAGACAGCGCTGTCATCAAAGGGAGTCAACACTGCCGGAGTGGCCGGCCCCAACACGGGAACGCCAGGGGCACCGTCGCATCCGAACCCTGGCACTGCCGGGTCACCCGGATCTGAAAGTGGCAGTCAGTCTACTACGATGGCTTCTGATCCAGCAGCAGATGAAAATTCGAAAACAACTTCAGCGAACTCTTGTCTTGCGGAATTGATTAGAACATCCAAAAATCGATATCCATCTCGTGAATGTCAATGTCCAACCGGAGAAATGGAACTGAATGAGCGCTGCGAAGGTTCGTGTCAGTATTACTGGTTTTTTGTTTACTGTTACTCAAATAGGGTTGGAATGGATGAGAAAAACCATTTTTGCAGCCACTGAGGATAACTTGGCGTTTTACAAGCTTGATATCCACTCAGCCTGTGGTGAAGAGACGCTAACACCCGATCAAAAGAAATGGATTGCCATTGGAAAGGTAAATTCATCTAATTCATTCGAGTTTTTATTCATTTTATCAGCAATGGTGCTAAGAAAAATTGATTACAAGGAATATTTTTCTCTGAATCTAGTGAAGTGTCGAGGCCCAAGGGCTCATTGGTCCCTCCTTCTGTTGTCCCAGAGCCATTTCATGAAATGAGGACCCTATTCAGTGGAGACGGACAGTAGCTTACCGTATACCAAACCACCTCTCCACATCTTTCATAACTGAATTCGAGTTTACTGGGAGCAACCATAAGAAGTTGAATAGTTTTACGGATTCATATCATAAGAAACAGGAATCAAGGAATCAAGGAAAGGATAGACAAGGAATCATAAGAAATGGAATCAGAAAAAAAAAGAAAAAAAAGCAGGGGGCATACAGACAAAGATCGATAAACTTGTGAAATTTCACCCTTTATCTGCTAATCTTATTTCAAATTTTTCGATGGTAGTCCGGAAGTCCGGCAGTGATTAAAGGTAGCAAGTTGTTCAGCCACTAGCCGCAGCCACCAACGTTGCTCAGTCCCACCACCAATATTTTTTACAAAAAATAATATTTCTGAATCTAGTCGTGAAATGCACTTGTAATGATTATGACCAGCAGTAGCCGAACTAATCATGACGTACCTTTAGTAATTCGGATACTCTAATTTTCTATTTCAGTTGGGTGAAACTACGAAAATCCCGTCATGTGTGAGAATGAGCTCCAGTGGGGATGTCATCGTGAATTCGATGTGTGGCTCGGCCTGTACTCTATCATATTTTCAAAACATGATGCAGGAAGAACCAGGAAGCAAGAGATCAATCGCCGTTGAAGGTGAGAATGTTCTGTTATGAGAATCTTCAGCATTTTCTTGGATCACTATCATTACTACCATTACCAACATCTCATTTATAAATAAATAAATATATGATATAGGCTGTAGATCGTGGTATGGGTGGTGTTCAAGAGGTACCACCGCGCTGTAGCGGGCAAAAGGCATGCGACATGCGCGCTCTTTCGTAGCGTCATAATGTAACCAAGTGCCACACGCTATGGTATCTCTTGACCCATGCTCTGGAAAACAGAACAGATGCTACCGAAGCTTTGTTGGTAGCACTTGTTGGCACAAAAGATACCTCACGTCAAAAGTGACGAGTGAACTAAAACAATACTCTTGTTCTTTTTCAGAAGCACCTCTCTGCGAGGATCCCTCAACAAATTATTGCCACGCTCAGGCTGAATGTCATGTAGATGATGTCCGATTGACATGTCGCTGTAAACCAGGAACTAACGACACATCAGATGGGCTGGGAAGAATTTGTGAAGGACTTATAGCTGATGACGGGTGAGTTCTTGCTTGAATCGTTTAAACTATCTGGTCTATTGCAAAGGTGCAGGCTTTATCCCGCGCTTCGAACCATTTGGTTTGAAATCAGAATCAATTCTTCAATCAGAAATAAGTAGAGAACATGGTCGTATTACTTCGTTAGGCTACTTCATGTATAGGCGGTGTTTCACGAGTGGGCGGAGTGTGGTGAAATGGTTTAGGCGGGACTTTACAGAAACATCTGTAACCGCTTCTACGTGAATACAGGTTTTTAGAATTGCCTTTTTAGCTGTATCATGATACTCGGAGCATGTCTAATATTCTGGTTGATAATCCTTTTGGGATTACTCCTACTCATACCGCTTATACTACTTCTATTACTCCATTGTTGTCCTCGTCGGAATAATTCCGTTCATCCGAAGAAAGCTGGAGTCGTGAGTGTCTTGATAGAGCTTCATATGTTTTGTTTTGTTTATCTGGTCATGCAAAAAAGAAAACATAATCGCAAGAGAAATGAGGAAATGCATATATTTTTTGGTAAAGAAAGTGCATTAAGGGTGTGAAGGGCAAGAAAGGGAAAAAGGAGAACAGACATGTTGCTGCTATGATGTCCAATTTACTAGCGGCGAGTGCTGGAGGTAATTTATTTGAATAGTTCCTTTTCAAAAAAAGGTCACTTTCCATTTTAGGACAACGACAGATGGCTATGAAAATAGCTATGACTGACTTGGATAAGAAGGACAAAAAGAAACACCATCATCGTTCATCAATCAAACCTAGCACCAGTGTGGAGGTCGTAGACGCTAAAGATGTTCGTCAGATTTGCTGTTAATTATAAAGTAACGGCGGCTGTTGAACCCGAACGGGAGTCATCAATTTCTTTCTGATGATAGAATAAGGAATCTCTGTAGAACTAGAGCTCAAATGCTCTTGTAGAGCCTTTCTATGATACAATCCTATCGAAATTTGTAGGGCTTAGCTCGCCTTATGAAGTAATCCAGCCACGCGGTCAACTTGATAAGTTGACCCCGAACAAATTCCGACTTGAAGCGACTTGAATTGACCTCGATAGGAGCGGATAATAAGCGATATATCCAGCTAAGACAATAAAGGAAAAGGTCACTTGAATATTTACTTGATAGTGAACGCAACAGATACAGAGGAATTCGGGGTTTGAGCCCAGCCGGTGCTTGAGACGAACGAGACGATATCGATCCATCGTGCTTGAGACTTGCCCTTTTATAGCTGCCTCGAGTCCGCAGATCATTTCCAGATCACGTCTATAATCGAATAGGCTCGATCAAAACTGAACGACAGAATTAGAAAGCGAGAGGTGAACAAAAAATAAACGAAAGCAGTAAAAAGAGGTCGCATTCGCAACAACTCCTAAGTGAGCAATAGCCGGCTAAACATAGTCATTTACTTTTTCCCCAATAAGAAGTTGGAGTTACTTTTTTATCCGTGGAGTGCCTTCAAACAATGCGTGCTGGCGTCGTTCTGTTGCATATGTATTGATTTTGCTCATGTGGTCGCGCACTCGACTTTCGCAACCGCGCACATGTTTTCCATAGTCTGCGACTATCACTATAGTACACCATTATTCAAGCTTGACTGAATTATTGCGGTTTACACTTACTTTGTTCTTTTTGAGAACTTTTCTTGGAATATTTGAGCTATGTATGCATTTAAACTTACCAAATGTGTAGCTGTCAAGCTAATTCCCTGTGGATTCAACTCCAGTACATGTCTTCAGGTGTGAGCGACCTCTTTTAACTGTCATTTTTACAGATGACATCTGCAACTGTAATCAACCACTCTTCAAATACCACCCAGCAAGCTGCAGCAGCTAATGTTAAGCCTACGAAAGAAATTGAGTCGATCCCTGGCACAGTGCAAGCTCCCGTCGGTGAAACACCAATTCTTGAGAAGGTAATACTTAGTAAACCGATTAGACCCGTTTAGTTCCAGCCAGATATGATTTCGTTAATGTCTTAGGGGAAATTCGATTTATTTTTCAGGCTGGTCCTCCTGGGATTGCTGTTCAATTGCCTGAAACTAGGCCACCAGAAGCAAGAAATATTCTTGCAATGAAGTCTGTTTCACAGCACTCGCTTGCCGTACCAGAACTAGTAAATGTGAGTAGTAAACAAATTCCATTTTATCGCTCATTAAGCAAGGAGTTCTGTTGATATTTCCACTACCTTGGGAATTTCACTGATGAGTTTGATGATTATGAGTACAACCGAATAATTGTAAGATTGCGATGGAGGGGGCGGCACATGCAGCGGGCGATTCCCGGAAATAAAATGAAAACCAATCAAAGTTATTAACTTACTAAAGTGCTTGTTGAGCAAACTTTACAATAATTTAGACTCGCTTCTGACATAAAAAATTCGTTTTCTACTTCCCGATGCAAAAGTGAGTTTGATGAGGCCGTAGCACGGACATATTTTGTATTAACGATGGAATCCCATCTCTGTCTGTTGCATGGGTACTTTGGGAAAGCTACTTGGTGCGAAGCGGTCACGTTTCGACTGTTTTGAATTACCAATGTCACCATCGATTAGCGTTTGTCAAGGCCGTGACGCGACCGCAACGCACCTGTGACCGTCCCCCGCCCCCTCCAACCTAATCCGCCATTTTGCAGCTAACCGTTGACTGTTTCAAATAGCTGATTACAGCTGAAGTGGGCTGAGGACATCAATGTTCCGTTTTGTGTCGTAAAATTTCCGATTTTGTTTGTTTTGTTGCTGACTGTAAACTATCTAATTTAATCGAATTATTTTCGATTTTTAATCGAAAAAGTATCAAAAAACATATGTCACTCAAAATTTTACCTTCTCAACGATCCGTTTTTCTTACAGAACACTTCAACTACTCTTACTCCATCAATAATCAGTAGTCCACCGATTATGCAAGAGACATCATCAGTTCCTGCTTCTGCACCTACGTCTACCGTAGCACCTCCAACACAGCCGCTTACGTTTGTCGATTCACCAGCTTCGCACTCAACCGCTTCACTGAATCCATTGACACCACAGCCACCACCTCCCCCTCCACCTCCACCTCCACCACAAACATTCCCAGCTACTGTCGAAGTACATCGAAACAACGATACCACTGAGGTAAGATAGTGTTTAAGGGGTGAGACTAAACATTTTGATCTTGTAGAAATTTTAATTTTAGCCAACAGTCGCCCGTCAATCATCAACTCATTCGATCGGCGTTCAACCTACAATCTGGGAATCTTACAAAGCACTGGGAGATCAATATGCTAAACAAGAAGAAATCGGTACGTTTTGGGATACGCCCTGGAATTCGGCTTCGATTCAAATCGTAGTGGCGTCCTAAATGCACATGTAGTCTAGGCCTTCCTAGCCTCCTAGACGAATCTGGTACTGATCGGTCCACCGTCGAGATTTGGAGGTTTGGTTGGCTCGGGCAAATTGTGCTTTATTAGTTTTACGTAAGCAGGGGTTTCGGGGTAACAAAGACTAGTATATCGGACTTTATACTGTAGCCACATGATTGTATTGAGAAGTAAGACTTTCTAAGACTGTAGGACAAGTAGGACTCCCTGAGAGGATTTGATAGCTGGCTTCAGTGGGGTGTGGTGCAGTAGGAACGAAATTGTCGCGTCTCGGAGAGAGACGCCGCGCGCGAAGGAATGTAGCAGAGTGCAGCAGCAAGTAAGAAATACAGGAACAAAAAAACTAACAGTAGAATCTGCCAAAACTAATAATCGCGTAGCGATTGAGCTTATGAAGGGCGCTACAACTGTTAATGAGGCGAATGGTCCGCGACAGCCGCGTGCGGCGGATCGATCACACAAAACCGTTCCTAATGCCCGTTTCCCGCTTCAGTGCAGACTACTTTTGTAGCTAGTTTAGCACTATTTCAGATGTAGAAAGCTGCTCCAGTTCAATAGAGGCGCTGATCATGAGTCGATATGCTGAGAGTTTTACCAATGCTCCGATCCTAACCGCTCAATCATCGAAAGACAAACAGCCATCAAAAGACCAAGTGCCACCGCAAATGAAAGAATCACCGAAGGACGAAGTGCCACCAACAGCACCTGCAGCCAGTGAAGAAGCAAAAGAAATGAGGTCAAAGTGGGTTTACAAGTTTTATCTGATAACGTTTACTAGTACTCGTAGTCATTGATCGAATATACTCAGGAGACAATTTGTTTTCAGACCTGGAACACGAGTCACGACTCCGACTGAACAACTTCAACGGGCAATTTTAGAGGAAGACAGTAGCACTTCGGGTGATATTCCACTCCCAGCTTCCGTGCTCAGCGGATCCTCCTCTGACAAGTGAGGAGTTCATTGAATTTGAGAGAATAGGGTGTTCCGAGGGATAACTCCGGTTAAAGGGTAGCAGATAAAGAGCATTTGGATTATTCCTGCATTACTCTTCAGGCATTTACCTTACCGTACAAAACATATTCCTGTTTCAGGGCTGAAAGGGATGCCAAACTGGCCGACATGCTCGGAGTTACGCATAGCCCACCACCAGGGCCTTCCGAACCATTCCCAACCGATACTGGTATGCCGAAGACCGATGAGCAGATCGTGGAGGAAATATCACGTCAAGGCGTTGTACTGCCCATTTCACCCCATGACATCCCTGCTCTATCGTTTGAGGATCGAGTTACGGAACGACCAAAAGCAGCATCAGCCGCTAGAACTCGACCTTCTAAACAGACGTCTGCTCCACGAGGACGTCCACGTCCTACCGTTCCAAATGTGCGTGTAACCGAATCGGAACGTGCTAAATTTACACCACAAAGACGAGCAAAGCCGACTAAACCTACACCACCGTCAACCAGCGCCGTGTTTGTGCCGAAAAAAGCTCGTGAACTACAGAAATTGAAAGAAGCCGTCAAGAAACCGGCACCAATCCGGAGGTCGGCCAAGGCAGCTACTGAAGCTCGACAACTACTTAAGCCGCCTGAGAGGAAAAAGCACAGTTCTACGGATGAGAGTGAGCCTGAGGTAAGCAACACAGTAATCATTTTAAGTTAGGGCTGAATGGAAATGCATCCTAAGATTTCGATAGTTTCAGGTTTTCCCCTCCAAGCGTGTTTCGGAGTCTCCAGGGAGACATCCGTCGACTTTGGCAAGAAGAAGACAGCGAAGACCTGAACGCCAGCTATCCAGCATTTCTGAAAAGAGTGCTGAGATAGCAGCCGAAGCTGCGTTACAGAATCAGCCACAAGACTATTCTATATCTGCACCGAATACGACACGATCACTCTCGGAATGGCATCAATACGTTCAGAAGAAGACATCAGGTGAAGATGCATCTGACTCTCCAACGGACATTGACATACCGAGTGGTATGAGGTTCCGTTTGTCGACGTCAAAATCACGAGCTACGATTGATCGTCTGAAGGAGAAACGAACTGAGCCATTTGCAACATGGAAACCACCCGTGAAAGCTGAAGAACCACCCGGTCCATCGTGGAAACCGCCTGTGAAGGCTGTAAAAGCTGACGAGCCGCTCCGTCCATCGTGGAAGCCACCCGTGAAAGCTGCAAAAGCGGACGAGCCGCTCCGTCCATCGTGGAAACCTCCTGTGAAAGCTGCTAAGGCTGATGAACNCCCCCATCCATCGAGGAAACCCCCAGTGAAAACTGGTGGACCATCCCGTCCACGGAGGCTATGTGAACTCTCATCTTCTGAAACATCATCGAAAACCTCACCAACAATGCAGCAACCGGTCCGAAGAAGTCGCTCTCCCCTCGTAGCATCTCCCGACATTCCAGATGTCACACTCCGTCGTTCCATGGATCGCCTAGATCAACTGAAAAAATCTCCGCCCCGTGGGTCTATGACATCACGCTCACACATCAGGCATCGTGCTAGCTCACACAAACCGTTCAGAGATTCTGCTAAAGAACGTATTACTCGTCCAAAGTCATCAAAGGACGAGTTCTTTTCTTCGGGGTCGGTATGGGAAAGATTGTCAGATCCGGACAGTATTAGGAAGCCGGGCAGAAGGACATCTACGGATACTGACATATCGATGTCGTCGAAAAATCTACACCGCCATGCTCTCATCAGTCGAAAGATCGCCATACGTCGTCATGAAACGCTCATCACGAAGTCCACTAGTGATCTTACAGTAAGGCCGTATAGCTCACGTCGTCTGAGCCAAACTCGTCAGGCTTCTCGTTCGGCCGACGACCTTCATCATCGCCCTCGATGGGATTCGTCACCGTATCGACCCGACGATCACCTGCATTCGGAATCTTTTCTACCGGGAATCAAAACCACGAAAAGACCCCATAGGAAAAGTCGGTCCGTGCTGACTACCCCACGAGGTTCAGTACATCGTAGTATGAGTAAGTTTTCGTTGACGAGTTTGCCGACTCGATCGAGTTCGACATTTGAGTTATCGCCTTATTTCACTCCGGGAGAAAATAGCAACAAACCACCTAAAGAGAGTCTATGGTGGACACCAGAGCCACGGTCATTCAGGTGAAGTCTTTCATGTTTGTTTGTTCAAAAGTGTTCATTATTGTATTTACTTGAGTGTAAAGTAGAAAAGTAACTAGTTAGTTCCTCTTCCCTCATGTATGTTGACGGTTTGGATGTCCTTTATCGAGAAATCTTTCAACGTCCTTTGTTGGACATATGATCGGTGTCATTCATTGAATGTCTTTCAATTACTCTCAGCTTCTTCAGAGATTCTCACCTTCTATATTTTGATATTCGGTGTTTTGTTATTTGAATTTTTTTGATCGTTGCGTTGTTTTGAAGAACTGTCAGCTGCTTTCTGCGATCGGGTTTGCAAATTGATCTCGTCTGTTCAGAGTCCCAGGAATTTTAGACAATCGCTGATCATATGAGCATTTGATTTCAAGCTCTGATAAACTGTTTATATCACATCATTTCAATCGGTCTAATATGGCTACGGCAAAAAAACAAGTCACAAAAAAGTCTGGAGTTAGTAAGCTCACTTTTTTTTACCTAAACAGAAATATACCGATGGCTTGCCGTATGGGTCGATGATTGGTCAGCATCTACAATAGCCAATCACAGCAACCTTGCCATAAGCAAGTGTGATTCGCTACTGTCTCAGTAGCTGAGGCGACCATAGCGATGACCTTCATCAATTAAAGAATACACGCATGAAGTGGTATTACCGGAGGATAAAGTTTTGGTACCGAATTCTCTCGTTCAAGGACGCTTCNCCCCCCCCCCCCCCCCCCCCCCCTCCTTCCATTTCCACTCAGAATCGTATTGGCGTATTGAATTCGCATTTGGCCGATGCTGACTTGCGGTGGCCAGTATACATCAACGCTTTTATACTCCTTGACAAGTATGGTACCAGTTAATGATCTCCGTAAGTCTAAAATGGTTGGTTGCTTTGAGTGAATATCCATCCGTGATTCGCTTCCCGTACTATGACTGCGTGAAACTCAGCTGGCTCTCCAGATATGAGTGACCATGAGATAGAAAGACGAGCAGTTGGATCGGTTTCGTATAATCGATCCATCGCACGCGACAGCCGGGTTATTGCAGTCCTTGCATTCTTATACGGCTAAATCGATAACGATCATTATTTTTGGCATGGTTCTATTGTGACTTCTTTTGTTCCTGTGTTCCTTACCCGCTGCTCTGCTTCTGCTTCATCCTGCTGCACTCCTTCGTGCGCGACGTCGCTCTCGCCGCGAAGCGACCATTTCAATTCAATTGCACCACACGCTGAAATGGTAACTCTCACTTTTGAACATAATTCGACGAAGAAGAGGAGTAGGAAGAACTTTCCACTCAGAAACATTAATAATCAATCAACTAAGACGCTGTTTTTGTTGTTTACTAGTATCCGATACTGGTAGGCAGTTACGAAGTGGTTTCGTTCTTCACACAAGTGAAGCATTTTCCCGAGCTTCTGTTACTGCTTTGCTCATGTTTTATTCCATTAATACCACCGGATCATGTCATAAATATCGCCGGCATTGTAATTTGGACTTCATCTGGTAGTGATACAGCGTTACAGAGTTCCAGTAGCCTTTTTCACCTGATATTGTGATTTTCATGTTGTCCATGTCGATCATATCAGATAGATGACTAGTAAGTTATGCTCTGCTGCTTAGGTGTTTAGATCTGTATAGATAATTTCGTAGAAAAAGAGCTGAGCTTCAATGAGGAAGGACCTTCGCCTTGGTATGATATCCTCATGATTTGAACTTGAAACCCGTGCCGTTTCATTCGAAAAAGGTCGGTCTGCCTTAATCTTGTTGTAAACGTTGTCGGATTTTACTTGCACTAACAACTCTGTACCAGTAATGATTATTTACTCTTTTGCTGGGAAGACTCCACACTAACAGAATGGTCCGGTCTTGAGCCTTGACCAGTAATGAATGCAGTAAGAAGAATCAGTATTCTATTCGTCATGTTTTTCAAATGTCAAGTAAGAATTATGTAGTATCTGGGCAAGTGAATCTGGCTTCAAGTAACAAAGATCATGGCATTAGGTGTTATTTATAACAGAGCAGAGGGATTAATTCGAGCCTAATTAATCAAAATCCATCTGACAAAAAGAAATACGCTGCAAATTCTCCGGCTCTCATAGGAAGCTGCAATTTCGCGTTAGGTAAAACAATTCAGAAATATTATAGTTGGTTATCCGGCATTGCGACAAATACCTATCACCAATGATCACTCTTTACCCCTGATTTGCGATTATTCCATTCGAGAGAACCTTATTTCAAGAAATTTTTCAAAAGGCGAGTTATCAACTTTTTCTGGCACTTTTCACTATGGCAAAGTTCTGTGATTGGATCATATTGGAAAATTTTACCAAATTATTATATTTATTTGTTTTTTTCTGAAGTGTTGTTTGTATTTCCTATGGATGACCTATGTTTATTATTACAAGAAAACTTGTTAAGTCAAAATTGCTAATATTATTTATGATTACTAAAAAGTACGTGTAAGGTATGGGGAGTGATTTGTGCCCATACGCCTACTGTGAACGATACCTCAAACACTTGCTGCATGAACCCTGGCTCTTCATATTTTTACGGTTCCAACCCCTCCCAACCAACTCTGGCTCTTCATATTTATAACGGCTCCAACCCCAATCCCAAAATTACGCGATTTATTCTCGGGAAGAGAACACATCCATAACCTATATTTATTTCCAGCCTTACTGACCTCCTCTTGAAAATAATGAAGAAAAGTCATCAGCGCTGTTCATCGTCAGCATTGAAGAAAAAGTTGAGATGGGCAGAGCAAACACTCTGCAGCATCATATCGTGTGCCTCCAATTCAATTAGTGAGTTTATGAGAAAGAAGTCACCGATCAAATCCCTCACCCTCTACAACATTCCCCTTTGTTCCTTCTGACAAGCACATTAATAGAGGGGAGGTACTTTCAAGCACAGTGGGTAAAATCTAGGAGAAGTTAAAAGCCAAGCATTCTCCCTTCAAATTCTGAAGTCCATTCAGCAGCATTTTAGGCTTTCCAAACAAAAAGGAGTAACTTCACAAACCTGTTTTGCAACCCTCGGCAACATAAAATTGAAAAGAAGGCGAAAAGTTGTTTAGAAGAACCCGCTGAGTTTCGTGTGATCAACGTTCATTTAATGACAAATCAAAATTCGTCTCGTGCAAGCTGACGTATGTGATTGGGGGAGGGGCTTCCTGTAATAGGCGGGGCCGCCTACTTGAACAGGGTGTATTTGAGCTACTGTGACATCTTTAAATTTTATACTGAGTAGTTGTGTACTTGTGGGCCATTCCACTCGAGCTTTCGAATTTCTTGTTACCCTAATGAAACATAGGCTTTCATGACAATAAAGTCTTTGAACTCCCTCGATATGAAAATTCCTCAACGTCATGATTTGGAACACTCATATAACTACTAGTAAGCTTTGAAGTAGCAAAGAGCTTGATGAGGCTTTTCGAAGGCTCTGACTAAACCAGATTGGTTTGAAAATCGTAACGAAGCTGGTGGAGGGTTTTCATGTCAAAAGCAACTTGACAAATGGGAAGGTAAATTTTTCACCTGTGCACACCTGATTATCTTTCATGCAAATGCAGGCTTGGAATTAAAAAATGACAGAGAAAATTGATGTCATTACAGCACCATACCTATCAAGCAGATTCCGGTCACTTCCTGAACATTATTGACTACTACTGTTTAATGACTTTGAGTCATTCATGAATTTCATTGCTAAGCATGTCTTTCTGCAAAGCTCGAGGCGTCTAGTGGATGTAGCGGTGGCAGCACAGCTTGCTGTTTTTATATTTATGAGATCGAATCCCGTTCAGGAAAGCAAGACACTGGAATGCGGAACGGATTCGGCAACAAATCTGAGCAGAGTTCAAGCGGCCCGCATTAGCCCAGGGGTCCAACGGTAGCAACTGTCCTGGATTCTGGGAAGGTGCTTAGAGCGTGGCTCACTCCGAGGCATTCGATCATTCACTTCAATACGGCCTTTGCAGTTCTACTAAGAGGTGGTTGGCTATCCGGCTAAGTCTCAGTCAAGCGGGAACTTCATTTATTTTCTTGACTTCATGTTCCTCATCAGTAAGGATTCTCTTATTCAACAATATTTTTCCTTATGATCAAATATTACTACGTAATTACGGGTATCATCTAATATGCATACGTCCAAGTAGACAATAGTTGTTGTTTATCTACATGTTATCTACATTATAATGAAATTTGAAGAAAATATGCATGCCTGTGCTTATGGCGTATTCTGTATTCACCAAGTATTACTTTCTTACATTAACGTATGATCTTACAAAATATCCCATAATATACGTTACAGAGAAAGCTCAATGTGTATTACACTAACAAGTCTAACCTTTATTTTTATAAATCAAGAAAACAATGGTTATTATAAAGGAGACTGATGCCGGCCGCGTGTTGAAGTGTTCACTGAAAGTTGAAATGTTGTTACTAGGTAAAACAACTGTATCATTCGAAGTTACTACACGATAAGGTGTAAGTACTCAAGATAAATAATAGTAATAGTAACCGTACCTCAGTCATGGGTTGATGTCGTTGTTGTTACAGGTGTTACTACGAAAATCGCCATATATGATCTTCCGTTACGATCTTCCTGTCAACCACGATGATGACGTCAATTTGTGTTTAATCCATGATAGCGGCACGCAATCTTTGATACCGTCAGCTTCAGCTAGACGTAAAATCCACGACAACGTCTCCAGATTTTGCGCCAACTGAAACTTTGATCTTTTCAACAAAATCTCCAGTGAAACAGGATATTTACTATAACTTGTAGAGCGGATTCGACTTTGAAGAGGCTCCGATGACTTCTTGGATTTACTCCCTATAATCTCATATGAAAAACTAATTGAAGAGCATCGCAGGCAACGCTTCAAATGCAGATGTAGATGACATTTCTAGGAGAATCGGGAAAAGAACGAGAAATACTCCAAAGAGCATTGGCATCACTGGAAATGGCCATATCTCCCACATACACAGACGTTATACTACCGAAAGGGGTTTCCTACCTGTCAGAAGCTACCCTTATACATTTAGAGTAGTTATAACCCTCAAAGAAGTTAGCTGAGCATCACTTTAAGGGATCTGGAAGGATATCTTCTCTTATACAGCCGGGGTTTCACCATGTGGGACATGTATATAAGAAGGCCGATGGGGTTCTGGGACACCACTGACCCGAGCATTCCCATCCTGTGCTATCCTACAATCTCTTGGGAGCCCGCTAGGGTCACGCATAAGTCCCTACTTGGACCATTGATTGAAGATGACGTTAGAAATGTTTTTAAAATTGCTAGTTCCTATGGTGCGGGCATCTTTCGAACATTCACTGAAGCGAGGAAAACTCGGTAAGGCAGCTTTCAATGGGAAGCTATAGCAGTTGAGTGTGCTGATTAATGATCATTTCATATGCAGGCTAACGAAAAGCAGACTCGCTCGACACGTTGTACTAGTATGAATTACTTCTTGATTTTCATTGGCACGACTGGTGGGTGAAATATTAAAATCTTGACTCACCTGATCAAGGTCTAACGGCGACTCCACTTCTGCTACCTCAGACCGTTTCAGCATTATTCCACGGCATGCTGGGGCAAAGGAAAACTTTCTAAAATAATTCTTAGTAATTGTACACTATAACAATCTATACTAGGAGATAAAAGTTTGTAAAATATTATTTCCCTTTTAAAAAAGGAGAAATTAAGTGGTATCAATCGATGAAAACAATGCAGAGTCGAGCTGACTATGAGGGTAATGTACTGGAAATTAGGCAGATAAGTAGTTTTTCAGCTCTGAGAGTCTAAACCTAAGCTAGGCATACTTGGGAATAGTACAAGGAAGTGTGCTCCCTGGGTGACCTTAATGTTGACCGCTTTCGTAACGACTCTAAGTAATTAACCTTTAAAGGAATACCCAAGTAACACTAATGATTTCCTGTGAACTTTGTGGTTTTACGGGGACTTTAACATCACTGAGGAACTAAGCTTACTGTGAAGTAACTGGAACTTTATAAGGAGTTTTCGGAGCTTTGAATGAAATATGTTTACAGAAGGACCGTCCGTCCAATTCCGTATGTGTAGAACCGCCGTTAAAAGCGTTTCACGGAGAATCGAGTAAGGATTTATACTAGTAAAATAGGTAATTTACCTGCAATCAAGTGCAATGGCCAAAGGAATAATGGCGACGATGAGGAATAGTAAGCTCCGCATATCTGTGTGAGCTGAGTAGAACTGAGTAAGGGAGAAGGCCGCGCCGTATAACGTCGTCTGCCTCAACCCCCTTCGTCCCGCCCTCAAACACTCCCCCCCCCCCCCCCCCNTGATTGCATACGACATTTAGAAAGCATAGCTGTCGCTATCGGACCAAAGTGAATTAAACGATCTTCTCAGAGAATAAAATGACACTCACTCCTGTCAGCTTCTGCGCTAAGTCACTTACGAAAGGGGTCTTGGACAAGCTCAACCAGATCACTTTCTCATACGCATGGCCAGGGATCGACCCATGGATTGATAGACTGACAAAGAATTCCATACCTTGGAAATCGGTTGATTGGTGCCGGACCTGTTTGGGAGTAGAAAAGCCGTGACTTGTACCTTTATTGTCCAGCGCAAGTCATTGCTTTCAGCTTCTGAGTTTGAGGCTACTATGCTTCGGAAGAGTAGCGTTGTTATTTTAACTAATTGTTTATTTGTTCTATATCGACATGATTTTGATTCATTATTTTTCGATTTTTACATTTTATATTCTAATTGAACGTTTCCGTATAACTTCGTTACAGTGTTGAATATGTCTTCAAAAAATGGGATGACTGATGCCGGTGGTACAACCGTGTGTCAAGCAATCGTGGAGCTGTCAATGAAGTACCGGTTGAACTGATACGAGTATTTGACATTTCAGTTGTGAAGCGGTGTATCACGTTCCAGAACAGCAGTGAGATAAGCTCTGGCAACTTACTGGTAAGTGTAAAACGAGCCAGCTACAATCTGACATCTCTACATTTCCAAACAGCAGTCTCATGCATGGCTTATCGCCAGAAATGGGCAATCTTTAGCCCTTCATTCTCCCATCTTCAAACTGCTAAACGGCTGAACAAACAAATGGATGCTCTAGCCAAGTGACAAAAAGGCAAATGAATACTACACTGAGGTGTTTGGCATAGTGCCAAAGTCTAAGAAAAACTACTACGTAGTAAACAACAGTCAAGCAAATCGGTGCATGGCATGGCAGCTGAAAGTTTTCCATACATTGCTTTGCTACGGGCCTTTGGCTGCTGAGATTATGCCGCTCCAGCCTGGCACTTAACTTTGCGTGATCAGAGTAATCCTTTTACTGGTACCAGGTAATCTAGTAACGTGGCGGAGTGATTTCGATATGATTGGCTACAGCTTAGTAGGCCTTCATAATTGCTATGAAAAGCTTGACATTGAATTTATCGGTAGAGTTCTATCTAGCCCCTACTATGGAATTTTCTACTATCAACTGGAAACCTACCTTAGTTTGATCAGAAATTTAATATCTCAATAGTTGTTTTGTACCGAACTCTTCAGTACTTAGTAATCGATTCCTTCATCGAAACACGGTCGAAAAAAGGTTGAAACAGGAATGCTCTGGAAATGCAACTTCTACGAAAACGAAGTTAATAATCGAAGCAGTTCTTCAACAACTTCTTCGAATCGATTACCGACGGCTTTCAATCTTTTCAGTGTTGAGCTTCAACCAATTGAGGGGGGTAACTATTGATATCAGGACCTCAAAAGCTGGCTTAATACGTAGCCGTTACTTTCACATCAGTGAAGTGAAGCATAGAGGATGTTTATG